TCTCTCTCTATGGGTCTCTCTCTCTCTCTATGGGGCTCTCTATGGGTCCCGCTCCCTCTCTCTGTGGGTCAGGATCTCTCTCTCTATGGGGCAGGATCTCTCTCTATGGGTCCCGCTCTCTCTCTATGGGTCAGGATCTCTCTCTCTATGGGGCAGGATCTCTCTCTATGGGTCCCGCTCTCTCTCTATGGGTCTCTCTATGGGTCCCGTTCTCTCTCTCTATGGGTCCCTCTCCCTCTCTCTATGGGGCAGGATGTGGGGGGCCGGGGGGAGCCTCTGCGGCTCGCGGGGTTTCCGCTGCTGCCGTCGCTGACGTCACCGCGGCCCCCCCTCCCCCTCACCTCCCCCCTCCCGCTGCCGGCGTTGCCCAATGCGGGGGGAGGGGCGGAGGGTTCGGGCCCCTCCCCCCACCGCAGCACCACGTGGGTGGTCCCGGGGGGCGGGGCTCCCCATAGGAGCCCTCTATGGGGCAGTCAGTGCGCCCCATAGGAGACCATATGGGTCTATGGGTGCTCCCCATAGATCTATGGGTGCTCCGCATAGCAGCCCTCCATGGGTCAATGGGTGCTCCCCATAGATCTATGGGTGCTCCCCATAGCAGCTCTCTATGGGTCAATGGGTGCTCCCCATAGATCTATGGGTGCTCCCCATAGCAGCTCTCTATGGGTCAGTGGGTGCTCCCCATAGATCTATGGGTGCTCCCCATAGCAGCCCTCCATGGGTCAATGGGTGCTCCCCATAGATCTATGGGTGCTCCCCATAGCAGCCCTCTATGGGTCAATGGGTGCTCCCCATAGATCTATGGGTCCCCTCTATAGGTGCTGTCTGTGGGTCAGTGGGTCCTCCCCGTAGAGCTGTGGGTGCTCCCCATATCCATGGGTGCTCCCCATAGATCTATGGGTCCCCTCTATAGGTGCTGTCTGTGGGTCAGTGGGTGCTCCCCATAGATCTATGGGTGCTCCCCATAGCAGCCATCTGTGGGTCAATGGGTGCTCCCCATAGATCTATGGGTGCTCCCCATAGCAGCCATCTGTGGGTCAATGGGTGCTCCCCATAGATCTATGGGTGCTCCCCATAGCAGCCATCTGTGGGTCAATGGGTGCTCCCCATAGATCTATGGGTGCTCCCCATAGCAGCCATCTGTGGGTCAATGGGTGCTCCCCATAGATCTATGGGTCTCCTCTAAGATTCCCCCCCCCACCGGGACACCCCTTGACCCCGCCCCCTCCCGTTGGCCCCGCCCCCCCCCCCCCGCCCCGGTCCCGCCGCAGCCCCACGGGGGGTCCCGGCGCTGACGCGCGTGGGGGGGGGGGCCGAGACCCGGGGGGGGAGGGGGGGAAATGAGTCAATGGGGGAGGGGGGAGGGACCCGGGGGGGGGGGCATGGGGGGGGGGAGGGTGTCCACGCGCGGCGGGGTCACGGGGGGAGGAGGGGGGGGATGGATCCGGTGCGGGCCCGATCCTGGTCCAGGTCCATCCCGGTCCAGGTGCACCCCAGTTCTGGACTGGGATCATCCCCATTGCAATAACTGGAACCGGTGCCTTTATGGACCCAATCCCGGTCCAGGTCCATCCCGGTCCAGGTCCATCCCGGTCCAGGTGCATCCCAGTTCTGGACCGGGATCATTCCCATTACAATAACTGGAACCGGTGCCGTTATGGACCCAGCGATGGGACCGAGCCCAGTCCAGGTCCATCCCGGTCCAGGTGCATCCCAGTTCTGGACCGGGATCATTCCCATTACAATAACTGGAACCGGTGCCGTTATGGACCCAGCAATGGGACCGAGCCCAGTCCAGGTCCATCCCGGTCCAGGTGCATCCCAGTTCTGGACTGGGATCATCCCCATTGCAATAACTGGAACCGGTGCCTTTATGGACCCAATCCCGGTCCAGGTCCATCCCGGTCTAGGTCCATCCCGGTCCAGGTCCATCCCAGTCGAGGTGCATCCCAGTTCTGGACCGGGATCATTCCCATTACAATGACTGGAACCGGTGCCGTTATGGACCCAGCAATGGGCCCAATCCCGGTCCAGGTCCATCCCGGTCCAGGTGCATCCCAGTCCAGGTTCATCCCGGTCCAGGTGCATCCCAGTTCTGGACTGGGATCATCCCCATTGCAATGACTGGAACCGGTGCCGTTATGGACCCAGCAATGGGACCGATCCTGGTCCAGGTTCATCCAGGTCCATGTTCATCCCAGAACAGGTTCATCCCTGTCCAGGTCCTTCCCGGTTCTGGACTGGGATCATCCCCATTACAATAACTGGACCCGGTGCCGGTATGGACCCAGCAATGGGACCGATCCCGGTCCAGGTGCATCCCGGTCCAGGTGCATCCAGGTCCAGGTTCATCCCAGTTCTGGACTGGGATCATCCCCACTGCAATGATTGGAGCCGATGTCGTTATGGACCCTGCAATGGGACCAGTCCCTGTGCAGGTACTAATCCCCATTCCTTTATGGACCCCGGTGCGGGATCGGTCCCAGTCCACGTCTATCCCAGTTCTGGACCGGGATCATTCCCATTACAATGACCGGTCCCAGTGCTGTTACAAACCCTGGTGTGAGCCCGATCCTGGTCCAGGTCCATCCCGGTCCAGGTCCATCCCGGTTCTGGACCGGGATCATCCCCACTGCAATGATTGGAGCCGATGTCATTATGGACCCTGCAATGGGAGCAATCCCTGTGCAGGTACTAATCCCATTATGGACCCCACAATGGGACCAATCCCAATGCGGGACCAGTCCTGGTGCTGTTATGGACCCTGCAATGGGACCGATCCCAGTGCGGGCCTGATCCTGGTCCAGGTTCATCCCGGTTCAGGTCCATCCCGGTTCTGGACTGGGATCATCCGCATTACACTGACTGGTCCCGGTGCTCTTATGGACCCATCAATGGGCCTGATCCTGGCCCAGGTTCATCCCGGTCCAGGTCCATCCCAGTTCTGGAATGGGATCATCCCCATTGCAATGACTGGACCCAATGCCGTTATGGACCCATCAATGGGCCTGATCCTGGCCCAGGTTCATCCCGGTCCAGGTCCATCCCAGTTCTGGACCGGGATCATTCGCATTACAATGCCCGGTCCCAGTGCCATTATGGACTCAGCAATGGGACCGATCCTGGTCCAACTTCATCCCAGTTCTGAACCAGAACCATCCCCATTACAATGCCCGGTCCCAGTGCCATTATGGACTCAGCAATGGGACCGATCCTGTCCAACTTCATCCCAGTTCTGAACCAGAACCATCCCCATTACAATGCCCGGTCCCAGTGCCATTATGGACTCAGCAATGGGACCGATCCTGGTCCAACTTCATCCCAGTTCTGAACCAGAACCATCCCATTACAATGCCCGGTCCCAGTGCCATTATGGACTCAGCAATGGGACCGATCCTGGTCCAACTTCATCCCAGTTCTGAACCAGAACCATCCCCATTACAATGCCCGGTCCCAGTGCCATTATGGACTCAGCAATGGGACCGATCCTGGTCCAACTTCATCCCAGTTCTGAACCAGAACCATCCCCATTACAATGCCCGGTCCCAGTGCCGTTATGGACTCAGCAATGGGACCGATCCTGGTCCAACTTCATCCCAGTTCTGAACCAGAACCATCCCCATTACAATGCCCGGTCCCAGTGCCGTTATGGACTCAGCAATGGGACCGATCCTGGTCCAACTTCATCCCAGTTCTGAACCAGAACCATCCCCATTACAATGCCCGGTCCCAGTGCCGTTATGGACTCAGCAATGGCACCGACCCCATTGCGGGCCCGATCCTGCTCCATCTCCATCCCGGTCCCGGCTCCCAGCCCGATGCTATGGGGGAGCGATGATGATGATGATGATGATGATGATGATGATGATGATGATGATGATGGTGATGGTGTGTGTGTGTGTGTGCATCTCCCGTTACCCCCCCGTGCGGGGTGAATGGAGGTGGGGGGGGGTCCCGCCGCCCCCCGCCGTGTCCGTGGGGGGTTTCTCTCCCCCCGGTGCGTTGCTGAATGGAAAAGCCGTGACTCACGCGTGTGTCATCGCCAACGGCGCCCGCGCCGCCGTATAAATGGGGCCGGCGTCGAACCGGGCGTCACGCGGGGACACCGGACACGCTCCCGCCGCCCCACGCGAGGACAAACGGGACACAACCGGACACCCCCCCTCCTCCTCCTCCCCCCCAACCCCCCCTTCTTTAACCCCTTTGCAACCCGTGCCCCCCCCCCACCCGTGTTGTGGGGAAGAACGGGAAAGAAACGGGGAAAAACGGGAGGGGGGGCAGTGAAACGGCGCGAGTGGGAAACGCGTCTGGGTGCGTGGGAGCGTGGGGCTGAGCGGGTGCAGGGAGCGTGGCTTTGGCGTGGAGAGCGTTGGAAGCGGTTTTGGGGTGCGTGGAAGCGTTTTGGGGGTGCGTGGAAGCGTTTTTGACTGCGTGGAAGCGTTTCTGGGGGTGCGTGGAGGAGTTTCTGCAGTGCGTGGAAGCGTTTGGGGTGCGTGGAAGCGTTTGGGGTGCATGGGAAAGTGGCCGTGAGCGCGTAAGGGGGAGCGCGGCCGTGGCACCGGGAGCGTGTTTTGAGTGCGTGGAAGCGTTTTCGGGGTGCGTGGAAGCGTTTTCGGGGTGCGTGGAAGCGTTTTCGGGGTGCGTGGAAGCGTTTTTGGGGTGCGTGGACGTTTGGAGGTGTGCCCCTGAGTGGAAACGGGGCTGTGACAGCGCGAACGTGGCCGTGAGCGGGTAAGTGGGAGCGCGGCCGTGGCCTCGGGAGCGAGTTTCGGGTGCGTGGAAGCGTTTTTGGCTGCGTGGAAGCGTTGGAACCGCATCCGAGCCCCTGCCCCGTTCCAAGCTGAGCGGCCCCGTGCCCCCGGCTCCGCGCTTTGCCCCGTTCCCGTTCCCCATCCCTGCCTGTATCCGCGCTTGTGCAACCCCCCCCCCCACATCCCCATCCTCACCCCCCCACCCGTGGGTCCCATCCCGGCCCCGTGGGGGCACCCTCCGGCCCCGCCATGACAAGTAAGTGCCACGCTTCTGATGATGGGGGGGGACGGGACACGAGTGGGAGGTCGTGATTGGAGGAGGGGGACCCCCAGAGGTTGGGGACCACGTCCCGTCCCCCCCCATAACATAGAGTGGGGGGGGGGGGTGTCCACGGATGGATCCTGCCCCACATCCCTCCCCCCACAAACACCCCCCCCCCCCTTCCCTCCGCCAACGGCGGGACCGGGCGCGTCCATCCCCGTGGCCTCGGGGCGCGGGCAGCTGCCGCCGCGCCTCAAAGCCACAAACGGCCCCGGCGCGCACCTGCCCCGCCCGCGGCGGCTCCGCCCCCCATGTGTGGGGCAGAGGTGTGGGGGGGGGGGTCAATGTGTGGGGCAGAGCGAGGAGGGGGGGGATGTGGGTCAATGTGTGGGGTGTCTGCGGGTCAATGTGTGGGGCAGAGGGGGGTCAATGTGTGGGGGGGGTGTGGGGGTCAATAAGTGGGGCAGAAGGGGGTCAATGGGGAGGGGTTCATATCCTGGACCCCCCCTCCCCATCCCAACCCCCCCCCCGCTCCGGTGTGTGCCCCCCCCCATTGGGGCCGCCCCTGACTCACCCGCATCAAACTTTCCAGCCTGGACCGCACAGGACGCGCCGCCCCCCCCGGCTCCATCCCACCGGGAAGGGCCGGGAATGACGGGATCCTGAGCCCGAAATCCCGGGATCCCCCCCCCCCCGTTCAGGGGCTCCCACTCTGGACCCCGGGATCCCCCTCTCGGGAATACCGGGAGCATCCCCTTAGGGATCCCCTCATGCGAGGTCTCCCCATTCAGGGTCTCCCCACTCGGGATCCCGGGATTACCCCACTTGGGAACACCGGGACCCCCCCCCCCCCCTTTTGCGATCCCCCATTCATTATCCCGGGATTATCCCACTCAGGATCCCTCCATTTGCAATCCCCCCACTCGGAATCTCCCACTCGGGATCCCCTCACTGGGGGTCCCCCACTCGTTATCCCGGGATTATCCCACACAGTAACACCGGGATCCCCCCCTTTTGTCATCCCCCCACTCCTTATTCCGGGGTTATCCCACTTGGGAACACCGCGATCCCCCCCCCTTTTGCCATCTCCCACTCCTTATTCCGGGGTTATCCCACTCGGGATCCCCTCACTGGAGGTCTCCCACTCGTTATCCTGGGATTATCCCACTCGGGATCCCCCATTTGAGATCCCCCCACTCAGAGTCTCCCACTCGGGATTATCCCACTCGTTATCCCGGAATTATCCCACTCGGGAACACCGCGACCCCCTCCCCTTTTGTCATCCCCCAATCCTTATTCCAGGGTTATCCCAGTCGGGATCCCCCCATTTAAGATTCCCCCCTTTTGCCATCCCCCACTCGTTATCCCAGCCTTATCCCACTCGGGATCCCCCCCATTTGGGATCCCCCATTTGGAATCCTCCCACTCGGGTTTATCCCCATTAACGGGGGTCTCCCACCCATTATCCCCGCATACCCCACTCGGGACCCCCCCTCTTCCCCCCTGTATCCCAGAATCCCCCGCTCTGGATGTGCCCCCCCCGCCCCACTCGTGTCCGTGTCCGTGTCCGCAGGGGCTCCGTGGCGGGCGCTGTTCGCTCTCCTGGGGCTGTGGCCGGGGCTGTGGCTGGGGCCGTGCCCGGGCCTTGCGGGCCCCCCCCGCCCGCGGCCCCCGGACCCCCGCACCGAGCTCGACGCCATCGTCAGCCTCGCCAAGGCGCTGCTCGGCGACACCAAAGCTTTCCTCGCACTCCTCGTGGGTACCAACCCCGACCCCATCCCCACCCCATCCCCACCCCATCCCCATCCCATCCCCATCCCCACCCCATCCCCATCCCCATCCCATCCCCATCCCCATCCCATCCCCATCCCCATCCCATCCCCATCCCCATCCCCATCCCCATCCCCATCCCATCCCATCCCCATCCCCATCCCATCCCCACCCATCCCCATCCCCATCCCATCCCCATCCCCATCCCCATCCCCATCCCCATCCCATCCCATCCCCATCCCCATCCCCATCCCCATCCCATCCCCATCCCCATCCCCATCCCCACCCCATCCCCACCCCATCCCCACCCCCACCCCATCCCATCCCATCCCATCCCCATCCCATCCCATCCCCATCCCCATCCCCATCCCCATCCCCATCCCCATCCCCATCCCCATCCCCATCCCATCCCCACCCCCACCCATCCCCATCCCATCACCATCCCCATCCCATCCCATCCCATCCCCATCCCCATCCCATCCCCATCCCCATCCCCATCCCCATCCCCATCCCCATCCCATCCCATCCCCATCCCATCCCCATCCCCATCCCATCCCCATCCCATCCCCATCCCCATCCCATCCCCATCCCCATCCCCATCCATCCCCATCCCCATCCCCATCCCCATCCCCATCCTCATCCCATCCCCATCCCCATCCCATCCCCATCCCCATCCCCACCCCCCCCCTTGGTGCCCCCGCATTGGGTGACACACCCCCCCCCCCCCCCCCCCCCGCTTTCCATTTATGTCGCCGACAGAAATCGCGATTCCCGGCGGAGGGGGAGCATAAACTGGATTCGCTGCCCGTGCTCTCCATGAGCGCCCTGGAGCTCGCCAATATCCAGGTTGGGAGCGGGAAGGGACACGCGTGGGGATGGGGGGGTCCAATTGGGAAGGGGATGGGGGGGGCCGTGGGGTCCCCAATGGGCAGCGGGACCCCCCCCGAGTGTTTGGGTTCCCCCCCCGGGGGTCCGGGTCCTCAAGGGGGTCTCTAAGCGGGGTCCCTCATGGGTTCGGATCCCCCCGTGTGTTCGGGTCCCCACGATGGGTTCGGGTTCTCCCAATGGGTCTGAATCCCAATCGAAGAGTTTGGGTCCCCGGGATGGGTTCGGGTTCCCCCATGGCTCCGGTCCCCCCCATGGCTTTGGTTCCGCCCAATGCCTCCGGTTCTCCCCCATTGGGTTCCTGTCCCCCAATGGGTCCGTTTCCCCCCACCGCTCCGTTTCTCCCCCATGGCTCCGGTCCCCCCCCATGACTCCGATTCCCCTCATGGCTCCAGTTCCCCCTCATGGGTTCGGGTCCCCCTTATGGGTTCCTGTCCCTCCATGGGTCCAGTTCCCCCCCATGGGTCCGGTTCCCCCCCACGGGTCTGGTTCCCCCCCATGGGTCTGAGTCCCAATCCAATGCTTTGGGTCCCCGGGATGGGTTCGGGTCCCCCAATGCCTCCGGTTCCCCCCCATTGGGTTCCTGTCCCCCCATGGGTCCGTTTCCCCCCACGGGTCCGGTTCCCCCCCATGGGTTCCTGTCCCTCCATGGGTCCGGTTCCCCACACGGCTCCGGTTCCCCCCCATGGGTCTGAGTCCCAATCGAAGAGTTTGGGTCCCCGGGATGGGTTCGGGTCCCCCCCATGGCTCCGGTTCCCGCCCATTGGGTTCCTGTCACCCCATGGGTCCGGTTCCCCCCCGGCTCCGGTTCCCCCCGTGGGTCCTGTTCCCCCCCCCCCCCGGCTCCGGTTCCCCCCGTGGGTCCTGTTCCCCCCCCCCGGCTCCGGTTCCCCCCGTGGGTCCTGTTCCCCCCCCCCGGCTCCGGTCCCTGACGGGTCCCGGTGCGGGTCAGGCTGCGGCGGCTCTGGCCCGGCTGAGCTCGGACCTGCAGCGGTACCGGCGGCACCTGGAGTGGCTGCGCCGAGCGGGGCCCGCGCTGCGCCCGCTGGAGCCGGAGCTGGGAGCGCTGCTGGCGCGCCTGGAGCGCCTGGGGCGGAGCCTCGACCTGCTGGTAGGCGGGGCTTGGCGGCGACGGGCCAATGGCGAGGCGGTGCGGCGGGGAAGGGGCGGGGACGGGGGCGTGGGGACGGGGCTGCGCTCACCTGGACGAATGGGAGCGGGCTTCGCGGCGGGGCGGGGCTTCCACCAATGGGAGAGCCGGGTGGGAATGGGGGCGTGGCTTCTCTCACCTGGATGAATGGGGGCGGGCTTCGCGTCCGGGCTGGGCTTAGACAAGGGGGCGTGGCTTCTACCAATGGGAGAGGCGTGCGTGAATGGGGGCGGGGCATTGATCAGCTGTACGAACGGGGACGGGTTTCGGGGCGGGGATTGGGGGGGAATGGGCGGGGCTTCCCCCGCGCTGAGCTCGCCCGCGGCACACGCGTGAGCTCGCACATGCATGACCACGAGTGGACACTCATAAACACGCGTGGACACGCAATACCACGCATGACCACGCATGGACACGCATGGATACGCAATACCACGCATGAACACGCAATACCACGAGTGGACACGCATGAACACGCATAAACACGCAATACCACGCATGATCACGCAGTACCACGCGTGGACACGCAGTACCACGCATAACCACGCTTGGACACACAATACAACGCATAAACACGCATAAACACGTATGGACACGCAATACCACGCGTGGACACGCACGAACATCAATGATAACGCAGTGCCACACGTGGACATGCAATACCACGCATAAACACGCAATATCACGCGTGGACAGGCGTGACCACGCATAAACACACATGGACACGCATGACGACGCTTGATCATGCAATACCACGAATAAACACGCAATACCACGAGTGGACACGCATGAACACGCATAAACACGCAATACCACGCACGGACACGCAATACCACGCGTGGACACGCATGCACACGCAAAAACATTTATGGACACGCAATACCACGCATGACTATGCAATACCACTCGTGGACACGCATAAACACGCATGGACAGGCAATACCACGCATGACCACACAATACCACGCGTGGATACGCATAAACACGCATGGACACGTGATACCACGCATGAGCACACAATACAACGCGTGGACATGCATGGGCACGCATAAACACGTAATACCACGCATGGACACGCAAAAACACGCATGGACACGCAATAACACGCGTGGACACGCATGGACACGCAATAACACGCGTGGACACGCATGGACACGCAATACCACCCATGCCCACGCGTGTTCCCCCCCCCTCCACAGCTCTCCCGTTTGAGCCTCCCTCGTCCCAGCCCCCCCCAGACCCCGCTGCCGGCTCCGGGCTCCCCGTGGGCCGCGGTCCGCGCCGGCCACGCCGTGCTCCAGAGCCTCCACCTCTACCTGGACTGGGCATCGAGGGCCCTGGTGCTGCTCCGCAACAAGCTGTGACCCCCTATTTATTGCTATTTATTGGCCACGCCCCTAGTCTATTAATTAATTAATTAATTATTGATTATTAATTATTGGGGAGAACGCATCCCCTCCTCCCCCCCCCCCATGCGCTCAGGGACCCCCCAACGCGTCCCCTCCCGTGTGGGAGATGTTATTTATTGACTCGGGCCCCGCTCGGCCCCGTTTTGTGTCGTGGATCGGAGCGAGGAAGGAATAAAAGGATGGAAGTGAGAGGATGAGGAGAGATCCTGGGGGGGGGGAAGGGGGAGGGGGGAGGGGGGAAAGGGGGGGGGAAAGGGAGAAAAAAGAGGGGGAAGGGAAGGAAAAGGGGGGATGCAGGCAGGGATGGGGGATGCAGGAAGGGATGGGGGATGCAGGCAGGGATGGGGGATACAGGCAGGGATGGGGGGATCCAGGCAGGGATGGGGGATGCAGGCAGGGATGGGGGATGCAGGCAGGGATGGGGGATGCAGGCAGGGATGGGGGATGCAGGCAGGCATGGGGGATGCAGGCAGGGATGGGGGATGCAGGCAGGGATGGGGGATGCAGGCAGGGATGAGGGATGCAGGCAGGGATGGGGGGATGCAGGCAGGGATGGGGGGATACAGGCAGGGATGGGGGATACAGGCAGGGATGGGGGGATGCAGGCAGGGATGGGGGATGCAGGCAGGGATGGGGGATACAGGCAGGGATGGGGGGGATGCAGGCAGGGATGGGGGATGCAGGCAGGGATGGGGGATGCAGGCAGGGATGGGGGATGCAGGCAGGGATGGGGGATGCAGGCAGGGATGGGGGATACAGGAAGGGATGGGGGATGCAGGCAGGGATGGGGGATGCAGGCAGGGATGGGGGATGCAGGCAGGGATGGGGGATGCAGGCAGGGATGGGGGATACAGGCAGGGATGGGGGATGCAGGCAGGGATGGGGGATGCAGGCAGGGATGAAGGGATACAAGCAGGGATGGGGGGATGCAGGCAGGGATGGGGGATGCAGGCAGGGTGAAGGGATACAAGCAGGGATGGGGGGATGCACCCCCACTCCATTGGGAAGCACTGGGCCGGGGGGGGGACACCCCAAGACCCCCCCAGCCCCCAATGAATGACCCCAACCCCTGTGCTCCGGAGTGGGGGGGGGAGTGGGTGCAGAGCATCTTTATTGACACCCCATCACCCCCCAATGGAGGCAGGACCCCCCCTTAAGGCATTAAACCCCCCCTCCCCCCACAATGATGCGAGGGGGGGGAGGGGCTCATGGCGGGGGGGGCAGGGCTCGGGGGGGGTCCTGTGAGGAGCTGGGGGGGGCCTGGTCCTCGGGGGGCTCCTCCTCGGGGGGGGGGTCCCAGGGGAAGGAGAGCCCCAGCCCCGCCATGCGCTCCCGGTACACGCGGTCGAAGCGGGAGCTCTGCTCCGGGCTCAGGTGGTTCTTCCAGTCCCCGGAGATCCCTGCGGGGGGGCGCCGGGATGGAGACCCCCGGAGCGCGAGCATCACAGCCCTGTCCCCCTATCACCTACCCCACGTACCCTATAGCCCGTATATCCCGTACATCCCATATATCCTATATCCCATATATCCTATATCCCATATATCCCATACCCCATATATCCCATATATCCTATATCCCATATATCCCGTATATCCCATATATCCCATATATCCCATATATCCCATATATCCTATATCCCATATATCCCATATATCCTATATCCCATATATCCCATATATCCTATATCCCATATATCCCATATATCCTATATCCCATATATCCCATATATCCCATATATCCCATACCCCATATCCCATATATCCCATATATCCATACCCCATATCCCATACCCCATATATCCCATATATCCCATATCCCATATATCCCATATATCCTGTATCCCATATACCCCATATGCCCTATATCCCATATATCCCATACATCCCATATCCCATACATCCCATATCCCCTATATCCCATATCCCATATCTCCCCTATATCCCATACCCCATAAATCCAATATAACCCCTATATCCCATACTCCATAAATCCCATATATCCCATACATCCCATATCCCATATATCCCATATCCCACGTTTCCCATACCACGTAAATCCCATATACCCTATATCCCACATGCTATACCCCATATCCCATTTATCCCCTATCTCCAATATATCCCATCTATCCCATACCCCATTTCCCATGTATCCCAGGTATCCCATCTATCCCATGTATCCCATCTATTGCATGTATCTCATCTAGCCCATATCCTATCTATCCCATGTATCCCATCTACCCCATACCCATATTCCGTGTATCCCAGGTATCCCATATCCCATCCATCCCATGTATCCCATATCCCATCCATCCCATGCATCCCATCCATCCCATGTATATCCCATCCATCCCATATGTATCCCATATCTATCACATGTCTATCCCATTTCCATCCCGTATCTATCCCATGCCCATCCCATGCCTATCCCATATCCACCCCATGTCCACCCCATGTCCATCCCATGTCCACCCTACATCTATCTCATCTCCATCCCATGCCGACCCCATGCCCACCCTACATCTATCTCATCTCCATCCCATGCCGACCCCATGCCCACCCCACGCCCACCCCACGCCCACCCCATGCCCACCCCACGCCCACCCCACGCCCACCCCACGCCCACCCCGTGCCCACCCCGTTCCCCCCTTGCCCCCGCACCCTTGCGCAGGAAGGGTCCCCTCCGCAGGTCCAGGATGAAGAGCGGGGAGAGGCTGAAGTTGCTCATCCGGTTGCGGCTCATGGCCGCGAAGGAGGCGTTGGCCACGACCGCGTCCAGCGCAGCGCCCCCCAGCGGCCGGCCCAGGAACGCGCAGAGGCGCTCGACGCTGCCCCGCAGGTCCTGGAGGGAGAGAGAGGAGACCCGGGATGGGAACGGGAGGGGAACGGGAGGGGAACGGGAGGGGAACGGGAGGGGAACGGGATGGGAACGGGA